TGTGTGTGTGTGTGTGTGAGTGTATGTGTGTGTATTTCTACTTGTCTGTCGGCGTCCCTGCGCGTGTGTAGATCACAATCCATTGTGTTGTGGAGAGTCTTCCATCAACCAAAGTAAAGACAGGAGAACTGACAGCGGCTGACATGTACACAAGGCAGGCTACTGTCCCTCTCGGCTGACCCCCGCAACTACCGCCACGTTACCACCTCGACATGGGAGAGCCATAATGCTACTGACAGATCCAGCTGGAGGGAGATCAGCTCTGCAGTGATGGTGGGCAGCAAAGCACAATGACGTGAGAGGCTTCACGGGAAAAATAAAAAAGAAGCGAAAATTTGGAAAGAATCCCGCCGCTAGCTGCACTAGCACGTGCACAAATGAAAGTGGAGCATTTTAAATGTTCAAAATGTGACAAACTTTTCTCTGCCAAAATTGGTCTCACCAGCCACAGCAGAAGCCACATTAGTCATCATAACGTTTACTTCTTCAAATTTTTCTATTTTGATAAATATTCATTCTCCTCTGCGGATGTGTCGGTTATCGTCAGACATTAACGGACGAACTAATAATATAAGTATTACCCCTCAGGGACTCTAACATGCCCCCACCCACACCCCCTACCCCCGTCCAGGGCAGTGCTACTGACTCAAGTGTCTTTAGGCCATTCCTAAAAGGGGGATATTAACAAGTTCTTATGCACAGCACAATTGTAAATGGGCTGATTTACCAATGCCATGCTCATACTGTGCAGGAACAACATAGAGGGAACACTGCTGCTTTTTCTTTCCTCATCCTTACTATCGGCATTATTCCTCTATTTCTTTTCTATGTTTGTCACGCTCTTGTGAACTGCTACATGTATTTCCTGGGTACCTTGATAGTCGAAGCAGTTTTTGTGCTGTTGATGCTAGAGAGGTGTGCAGAGTAAGCCAGATTTCTCGTTTGGACTTCTCTGTTGACATCCACCCCCTTGGCGCTCATATGACCTTATGCAGTTGCGAGCGCCGTAAAACCTTACTAAAACAAGCAAACAAATCTGAACATGGCATATGCCCGAGACGGTCACCCCATTTTCGGGAACACAGGTGGGCGTCTAGGACAGTGTTATTATGATTACCCCCCTCCCCCCAAAAAAAAAATAAAAGGGGAAAAAAATGAATGCAAGGGGGATGTAAAAAGTGGTCGTTTGTACAGGTGGTTGTCTTTCACAGGTGACGTAAGAGCAGATTCGACTGTGATTTCTGCCGCGTTTGGTTGAGAAAAACCAGTTTTCTGAGACCTTCTTTGTTCAGGCTTGAAACCACGAAGATGTAGCGCCATTTTGTTTATTCGACCGTGTATAACTGTATAGGAAACTTTCAGGAACGTATACATGTACACGTATTGTAAGAGAATAATGAGGGCGTTCGCACATGGGTGTACACTTGTGAATACTTGTTTAACCCAAAGAGCTCCTTGGTTTAACCTTGAAGTGTGTGTGCGTGTGTGATTTTGTCTTTGTGAGAGTGGGGGAGGGGGCCGGGGGATGTTTTTGAATGCAAGTGTGTTGGTGTGGAGGGGGGGGAGGTGGATTTGTGGGTATATATGCGTGCGTATGAGTGTTTGCGTGTTACTGTGTATGTTTGTGTGTGTGAGTGTGTGTTTGTGTGTGTGTGTGTGTGTGTGTGTGTGTGTGTGTGTGTGTGTGTGTGTGTCTGTGTGGACGCATGCATGTATGTGTGTGTGTGCACGTTTTTACCCTTGCAGAAATAAATGACCATGTATGTGCGTGCGGACTTGTGTGCGTGCGGACTTGTGTGCGTGTGTGCGTGCGTGCTTTCGTGCATGCATGCATGCATGCGTGCATGCGTGCGTGCGTGCGTGCGTGCATGCGTGCGTGCGTGCGCGGGTGTGTATAATGTATGTGCGGTTACGTGTGCATACCAAAAAAGGGTGTGTGCATATGAGTATGCGAGAGTGTACTTGTGCGCGGGCACGCCTGTCTACTTGTCAACCTGTGTACACACGTGCGTGTATATTGCCGGCTCCTCTTTCAAAGTGTTATGGAGACAGTGACCAAATGACCCTCCTCTATCTCTCAAAGAGGAGACACCACGAGTAGTTGGGGGGGGGGGGTGCCCTGGTGTGGTTGCTTCTTTTGTCCTGTCAAACATCTATCGTCCTCTTTATCTCTCCTCCCGCTTTTGATGTGTTTGTTTTTCCCTTGTAACACCTCTAATCTTCGACACACTCATGACCTAATTGTGTTGCAAGTGCCGTAAAACCCTTACTAAAGCAGCAACAACAAAACTGCCCTACGCTGACAAAAGGCTTTTTTCTTCTTCACAGCATTTTAGATAAATCAACGACTTTCAGTTTTCCTATATCATCTAAACAACATGTATTGTGCACAGTATGCCTACATCAAAGGTTGATCTCGCATCTTGAAAAAAATACCATCCCTTATGTTCAACAGATATTATAAGAAAACTAAAAACTCGTTGATTTCGAGAAACTGCTGTGAAAAAGAAAAAGGCCTTTTGTCAGCGTAGCGCAGAAAAGTGTTGTAGGGACAGCGTTGACCAAGTTGTCCCCTCCTCCATCACTCAAAGCTGAGACAACAGAAATGACAGGGACAGGG